GCCCTATCTCAACTGCCGATGGAAAAATGCCCTATCTCAGCACATTTTCAATGTATTTGCGTTTGAGATAGGTCGCTTTTGAACCGAATTCTGAGATAGGGCGTTTTCAACCAAATTCTGAGATAGGGCGTTTTTCAATAAAATTCTGAAATAGGGCGTTCTTCAATCAAATTCTAAAGTAGGGCGCTCTTGAAAAGTTTTCGGAGATAGGGCGTCTTCGAACTGACTGCCCTATTGCAGTTCACCATGTTCCTGATATCTGCTTCCGCATAGGGCTACTTTTGGCTGGGCCCGGTGGTACCGTGGCTTTGCTTTGTGCAGAGTTTGTGACTCCTTTCGGCCTTTGTTTGGGAGCGCCGGACTACGGTACTGAAGTTGAAGTTTTAAGGTTTGGTGTTGTTGATTTGTCCATAATTTATTCCACGAGACGCGGAGAAAGGGAACGTTCGCCCGGGCAGAGATCCGCTGTACTCGGGTAAGGCTAGATGGCTCCGAAGGTCGCCCGGTATCCGGAGCACTCCGTTCGCGACTGGGCTTGGTGAGGCTGATCCTCGGAGCGTTGATCCGGCCCTGCAGAGGGAAGGGAGTTGAGAACTGGCAAGGAGTTTGGTCAGAAAGGGAATAATAGGCGTAGGGATAAAGGAGGGGTCCCCGCTCGAATTAGCCGCCAGGGCGTTACCAGGTGTCACCACGGGGAGGCCCCTTATACTAGGGGGGTGCTAATCGCAATGCAATTGAACACCTACGGGTCGACGCTTTGGGATGTCGCGTGTGTGCAAGTCGATCACCACCATCAAAGACACCCAAACGGTGCAACAACTACTCACTTGCAAGTTTTTACTAGTTTTGTGTTCAATAACTTTTTCTGCTAGTTTTCTCTTCTTCTCAATTTCACGTTCTATTTTGCTCAATTTCTTTATTAAAAAAGCATGAATAAATTATTGCATTTTTGAGATTGCAATTAAAATGTTTGATTGAATCAGTGATTTGATTGCAATCGCAATCATTGCAATCAAATGTGCTTACAATTAAATTGATTGTAGTTTTTACAATCAGAAAATTCAATAAATTTTGATTGTAATCCTATTAGTAGCACAATCATTGATTGCTAAAAAAATTTATTGCAAATTTTTACAGCTCTGGCTTAGAATAATCTAGATATGTGTGTGTGTAGATGTGTGCATAATAAAATATGTTCGGATTTTTTCAACCGCCCCCTTTAGCTCAGCGCGCTCTATTCATCTATGTATTGGCCTAAGTACCTACTAAAACCATTTATTCACTTTATACACGGAATAGGAAATTTCTAAATAAAAACAATTTGCAAAGTTTTATAAACAAAATCAAGAACTGACTAGGAAGTGCTCTTGAAAAGTTGAAATGTTAACGTTGCTACGAACATACATATGTATGTATGTACATGATATATTGCTTATATATATATACTTATAGGACGGGAGGGCCTCCAATACAAATCTCTTGGTAACGTATAGCGAAAGGTTGAGTTGATTCAGAGTACACATAGGAAGATAGTCCATTGGGGTTTCAAAAATGCGAATCCGAATTAAAAATCTTATTAAACACAACTGTATGTAAAATTTAGATTATATTGTGTAATTGATAACATTTATTATTAGGAACAAATTTGTATTTGTTGCTATTTTACTCATTTCCCCTTTGCTCTATAACTATAACTGGGCCGGTTTATTTTCAAATCAAAAATTTTGTACGCCAAAGTATCATAGACATTTTATTTTATTATATTATCATAAGTTTTGAGCCATATATTTTTGAGTAAAATACACCGAAGTAATTTTAAAATTTCAAAATTACATTTCTCGACTGAAAAATAAGATATTTGAGCTAACGCGACGCCACACAGTGTGCTTTTTTAACACTTCATGCCAATTAATCGTAGCGCTTTAGACAGAAGTAATATTTTTATATTAAAAAAATGGCTTTAAAAGCTAATGTGATTGCCTTTCAAGAAAAAATATTGCCATTGAGCCACAATCACTCTCTGACCTTTAAAAAATTGGCCAAAAATAGCGTTCGTCGAAAAAAAAAATGTTTAATCCAACAGATATATTAACAAAAAAAAACTTTGTATTTTTTATTATACTAATATTATAGATTTTGAGACGAGAAACACGATTCCCTCAATTTGAAAAATGCATTATATATTTTATTTTTCATCAGCTGTGCATCCTTCACACAATTTAATATCCCTCGAACAACAAGTCAGTTTTAGTGCTATTCAAGACCTTTAATATAAGCCAAGGTAGAAGTCTCTAGGCCCTTTGGGAGCTAAATTATTACGATTCTGAAGTTAAACCTCGAAATTTCACTCGAAATTTTACGCATTTTTTCTAATTTCGGAGTAAAAACTAGTACAGCTATTTGGTAGTTTGGTTTAAAATTGTTATAACTTGGCTCTCAGAGGGCCTAGACCTTAGCTCAAATTAAAGGTCTTGTGTTGCACTCTTGTTCGAGGGATATAAAATTGAGTGAAGGATGCACAGCTGCTTGCAAATAGAAATAAATGCAATAAATAAGGCATTTTTTAAATTAAGGTGTTAACATTTTTTTTCAATTTGAACAGTGGAATCGTGTTTCTCGTCTCAAAATCTATAATATTAGTACAATAAAAATACATAAATTTTTTGTTTTACATGTTTAGTTTTTCGAAGAACACCACTTTTGACCTATTTTTTTAAGGTGTAATTGTGGCTGAATGGGCACAATTGAAAGGGATTTACTTTAGCTTTCAAAACGATTCATTTGAAATTTCCCCTATTTCAGTTAACAACTTTCCGAAATTTTTTCCATCGCAAAATTTTTTCGCTACCTGAACTTGTTGTGATTAGCCTAAATAGCCTTACGCCGTTTATATTAAATATAACGCCGCTTTGTTAGGTGGCAGCTGCAAACGAATTTATTCAATTTTATATTACTGATGTGATAAAATATATGTTTATTAAGATCTTTGCTTTATAATTATACATTGTTTAATTCATTACAACATTGACGGATTTTTTTAACAAAGCTCACCGTTGAATTGGAAACACTATCGCTGCAACTATCTCAATTGATTGCAACTTCATTTGTTTACATTTATCAGCTGTTCATTTGACAGCATATTCATCAAGTAATTGTTGGATTCAACAGTTGCCAGCAATATCGTAGCAGTTGAGCTAAACAGCTGAGTTTATGAGCGCGCCTAATAAATAGTTGCGATCCCTTGCGAGTCCGATTTCAATAGTCAGATTTTACAGTAAATCGATCCCGTACTCGGTTATCTGACTATTGAGAGGACAAAAAAGAGAGTTAGTAAGGTCCTCTCTCTGTCAGAAGTTACCGGCAGCGTTGCGGTATTAAATTCATTTAATTACCCCGAAAAAACTCAAATTACTCACAAATCCCCACAAACAGTTTCAAATTCGCCTCAAATTCCCCAGGAACGAAAAAAAAAATGTTTAAGTTGTATTATTCTTTAAAATATATAATATATTTTAGTTAAATATTGCAAATCTCTGCATTTTTTGTTTATTAAGTGTTAAATAAAATATTAAATACACATTATAAAACAAAAAATTGCTTATTAGGGAATATAAAAAATTATTAGATGAAGTCAGTTCTTTGGACCGTGATTGTAAAAAATTTATTTCGTCATTAAAATTAATCTGTAGTTCAGTTGTCATTGCACTTATTAAGATACAAAATTTAAGAAGCATATTTTTGTATTCATGAGAATATTTGAATTTGTTTACTACATGGATGGTACTTGGAAGCTTTTAATACAACAAGACGCACGTATTTTGTTGTCGATTTTTTCTCTAAAATGTCAAAAAAAACGTAAACAAAATCTAATATTTCAGAGTAAAATGTAAACAAAATTGACAAATCATGGACCACTTCGAATGAAAACAAGTAAGAGCAGTGCTGTCTTCGGCTATACCGAAGGCTTCATACCTTTCATGAACATCTGAAAACTTTACTTTAACAGATTACTGCATTTGAATAAATTTATTCATTCTGAACGTTTGGAATAAACTTTTTTGTTTACTTATTCTTTAGAACGTTCCTGATGATATGTTAACGAATATTTCAAACGCATTCTGTTTATTCCGGCCGTGAAATTGGATTATCTGGAATGTATAAAGAAACGCAGCCATTATTACACAGTGCTTCTAATAGTACTATACTTGTATAGCTGCATAAATGGAGTAGTTATAACGAAAAATATCATATCTGAACAATCAGTTGTATGGAAGCTATATGTTATAGTAGTCCGGTTCTTCCGGTTCCGACGAATGATTAATACATTATAAAAATACACCCACCTACGAAATTTCATCCGGATATCTCGAAAACTGAGACTAGATTGCAAACAAACATACGGATAGACGGGCATGGCTAATCGACTCAGCTATACCTTCTGATCATTTAAGTATACATTTTAATGGGTCTATCTCTTCTTATTTTGGAACTTACAAACATCGGACCAACGTTATAATACCATTTCATGCTAATGAAAGGTATAAAAATATGAATGTAAAAAATGCACTTCCTTTCAACTGCCGTTTTAAATCTTCTGTAAATATGTGTATTTCCTAGATAAAAAATTGACCGAAAATATACAAGTCATATTTTAACTGTAAGATCGAAGCATGCATGGCAAAGGTTTCAAAGTAGCCCTCCGTGCAAATTCGGTTGAATAACACGGCTCCAGGACTTTTCGATTTTTTTCAAAAAAAAAAAAAGAGAAAACGAAAGTAAACGTTTACATTTCTAACGTAAAAAAATTAAAAAACTAGACGCACGAAGAAAACATTTTAAATGACGCTATAAGTTCTTTAATATTTATTTATTTGTTTATTTTTTGTTTTGATACAAACATACGTGATGTACAAGGTACTTTTTGGATTGTATTCAGTTAATATGTGATGCGCAATGCCCGCTAAAGAATAAACATATAGTTCAATGCAAATGCGTATAAGTATTTATTTACATAAAAGAATGTGTAAATAGAAACATATTTATTTAGAACATATTTACGCTTGTTATACACAATAAAATCTCATATAAAATATATAAAAGTTTTGTAAACGAATTTAATATACATAACAACACTTTATGACAGCACAATCACATAACGACTATGCATATATGTACATATGTTTGTATGCATATTTAAGTGCAGATACGCTTGCAATACATATTTAATGATTTTGATTCGATAGATATATATATGTATGTATGTAAATAGGGTAAGTATGTAGTTAACAATTGAAATGGAAGTGCAGATAGATAGGTACACGATTTGAGTTTGAGACAGGTCTATTACGATTTTATCTGTAATTGTTTGCAATAACCGCTCAAGTCTATTACTATAATATGCTATATACACAGTATGGGACTGCGAATGCTGCACGGGCTATGTAAATACTCTCTCCAAACCGCATTAAAAACTTCCTTGAAGCGGTTATTGCATAAGAACAAAGATGTAGTATACATATATGCACGGGATTGACGCTTTTTGTCCTTGTGTTTTTTTTTTATTGAATACATTTATTTTCGGTAAAAACAACTACTTTTCGACTAATTTAAAATAGCTATTTACTGTTGTGTAAAATGTTTGCGATCTTTTGTGAGTTTTACATAATTTACTACTTTTGCTATTGCAATACTGCTACGAAAAATGGACATACACATTTAACTAGATATAAACATATATGTATGTATACCTCTGGCGAGATTTGAATCAACTTTAATCTGATTGATTGCGTTATAAACGTATGAAATACATTTGGCTTTGTTTTTGCTTTTATGTATGAATGTACTTTAAGGCAAATGTGGCTGAAAATGCAACGGATCATATACATATAAAACTTGCATAGCTTTCTCTTTATCACAATTAATTAACTAATTAACAAATGCGGTACGATTTTGCGATAAAATTTAATCTGTTACATTTTTATATACAAAATAAACTTTGTATTGCCTACTTATGTGTTAGTAAAATAGTTTACAAAATTACAAAAAACTTTACAAAATTATTAAATTTTATTAGCAATGCAAAATGTATGAATATAATTTTGAGCAGTTTAAAGTTTCTATTTCACTGGTGTTGTTTAATTAGTATTTTTATACCTATGTTTTCAACAGAGCATCTACTATTAAATACTAATTATTTACATCGATAACAGTAACATGCACAACAGTGATGTTTAGCTTATGAATCTTTAAGTACCTAAAAATAGTATCCTTCCAATTTGACATAAATATTTTAAGCCTTTCTAATACAATATATAAAAACAATATATAAAAACCGTAAATAAGGCTTCACCAAAAAAACCTTCATTTACTAATTGCAATTTGTGTTTTTGCTATGCAGTTAAGTCGCTCTTAACCTCTAACTATAATGCACTCATCATCTACATTAACCCTACAAATTTTATAAATAAGTTGTTATTTCGATCCCCATACATTTAAAAATAGTGAAACTACTTAGAGCGTATTAAAAAAACGAAGGGTTTCGTTGTTCTATAGTGGCGTTGTACGTTCATTTCTATAAACAACTGTTGCGTCATTATCGGCATAGTCCCGCTGTACCGTCTGTGGTTGTGACATAGGTTCTTTATTGTTCGCGTAGTAGTCCATTTGATTTTGTGCCTTTTCATCTTCGTATTGTGCTTCGTCTATCGCTCGGCGTGCAGCTGCTTTCTCAGCAGCAGTTTTCTTTTCATACTCAATTACGTGCTCGCGTAGAAGGAAACCTTCGCGCTCTATACGCTTGCGCAGTTTACTTGGCTCGTCAGCAATTGCCCAGGCGATTATTCCTTGAATCATGCCGATGACGTTCTGAAATGGTTATTATTTAATTCCATTATTATTATACTGTATATATCGCATTCCAGATAAAATAATTTCCATTTTAGCAGTACTTAAACTAGTGCAATAGAGATTTTCTTATCAAATCGTACTGAAATATATATATATATCTGTATATAATACACGAAGAAATTTTTTGTCCAGGATATAGAATCTGCACCATTCGCTCGATTTTCAAAAATAGGGTATCAAATTAAAGTGTTTGACCTGTAGATGTGCAAAGTGGTATATTCTTTTCGAAAAGAGTTGCCACCTGTTGAACAATTAAATTCAAATTACTTAATAATCAATGCCATCTTCTACGCACCGTTCGTTAGATTTTCCGAAATGAGAAGTCAAATGAAAAGTGTTGGACTGCAAATGCGCAATAAGGTTTCACTTTTTTAAAAGACTTGCCACATATTAAAAAATTACATTCAAATTATTAAAATAAATAAATCACTTATTAATTACGAGTCGAAATGGTTTTGAAAAGCTTTATGTCTTAATTTAACTATAGGATGGTTGCCACTTGTTTAAAAAATCAAATTCAATTTTAATCAAGGGAATTCGGTAAGCGAAATATGTATCCTCATATGGGTGCCAACGAACGGGGTTTCAGAAGGTAGTAGTTTGAAAATAACTTGAAGAGGGCTGCCACCTGCTTAAACTTTCGATTTTGTTAATTTATGCACAAGTTATATTAAATATCGAAATATGGATGTCAAACGAAAGAATGTTAAGAAATCTTTAGTTTGAACACTAAGAATATTTTTGAGGCGTCGGAAGAGGGTTGCCACCTGTGAGAAAAGTATTATTTAATAAGGTTAATGAATTATTAAAACATGGGTATCAATCGAAGGAGGTTTGAAAATCTTTATTTCTGAACTATATTTTGCGAGGCTGCCACATGTTTAAAAAACTTAAAACTTAATTCACCATTTAATTAACATACATATGTATCGCAGTATCACATGAAGGATATTTTAGAATGTTATAGCACAAAACTACTTTTGAAGAGGCTTGCCACCTGTTTATAAAGTCGAATTTGATTAACATTTAAGCAAGTTATTTCAAATATGAGCATACGGGTGTCAAGAAAAGGAGTGTTAAGAAAATTTTAGTTTAAAGATTTGGAATGTTTGAAGAGGGTTGCTACGTGATTATTAAAATGCATTCAAATTATTTAATAAGTTGGATGAATTATTAAAGGATGGGTATTATCGGAACGAGTTGCAAAAGCATTTATTTCTGAAATATATTTAGGAGGGTTCCCACCTGTTTAAAAAAATTCAAGTCAACGTAAATTACGGTTAAGAGATTGAAAATATTTTGAAAATGGTTGAATTTGGTTGAAATGTCGACTTTAGTTAAGGTATATGAAATATTAAAATATTTGTGTCAAACAAGAGTGTTAAGAAATCTTTAGTTTGAATACTACAAACAGTATGTGCGTTCCCTCACTCGCAAGAAGTTGCAAGAACGCGTTCCCGTACTCGGTTCTCCGGCTTCTTTTGCCTTTTGATAGTTTTACAGGTTTTAACCCAGAAAAGTTGGGAAACTATTTTTAGGTGTTTGAAGGCGGTTGCCACCTATTTAAAAATTCAAATTATTTAAAAAGTTAAATGAATTATTAAAAGACGGATATCAATCGAAATGGATTTGAAAAGCCTCTCAGGCAGGTTCTGCCGTTCATTTCCGAGCGCATCTTAGCCAAATTCGCTTAGCCCTCAAATTTGTAGAAGTTCACTCGGTAGTAAATTGCAGAACCCACCTGTTCATTTCTAAAATATGACAGGTAAAAGTAAACCCCTTGGCCTGTAGATGGACGTTAAGTATTTATTTTTTTAACTTAGAAACTTTTTATACGCATAGGGTCATTTCAAATTTGATGATATTAAAAACCGGCTATGCGAGACCTCTCTTAACTCAGAAACGGTTGCACGGCTTTAGAAGAAATATGGCACGTGGATCGCTAATAACTCTAACATTTGGAATATTTTTTATGTTTTTTAAATTAAATTTTAGGCGATTTAACGCCATGCGGGTTCACTAGTTATTCCTATTAGCGGTTTGCCCCACCTCATTTCCGTTTTCTTTTACAGTGAGCTAAAGTTTCAAAATAAATTCTAAATTGATATCGTACACATGGATACAAATGTAAAGTATTCCATGCGGTACCCGCAGCTAATGCGTCCTTGCCTGACGCAAGACAACAGTGACAATGTATCTATCCCGACCCTTTAAACGACGCTAGAACGCCAATTGAGTTTCTTAGTTTACATTTTTAACTACCAGTCCTCTCTTTCGCCATTTAAAATGTTATTCTTTAGGTAAATAAAGGGTTAGGAAGCTCTAGATATTGAACCACTTTAGACACTGTAGTAGTTAGTAAGCGTCCCTAGATGTTTGCATGTAATCAACATAGCAATGTCGCGGACAAAGCCACTAACGTTATTCCTAGATCCATATTGCTCATAAACGGGGCCAGGTTATTGCAAATAATTAGTATTTGAATCAAAAACTCTGAACTTACATACATATAGTGCTCATCCATATGTAGATAAAGTTAAAGATTATGTTTTTTAGTGCTTGGATTATCGGATAAATAAACACCCGTGGTATTACTGCCAAAGCAATAATGGGCCGTATCAAGGCATATCAAACAGGTAGTAGCATTAGAGCAAAAACAACATTTGCGTTTATTTTGTTGTTGATCCTGGTATCGAAAGTGTCAAAAACTTTCCGTTTTTTTTTCTTCTAGATCAGTGATTCCCAAAGTGGTCCAGGTGGACCCCCAGGGGTCCACGGAAGACTCGACGGGGGTCCACGGAAGACTCGACGGGGGTCCACGGTGACGTGAACAAAATATGGGGGTCCACGAAAATTTAGCTGGTTTCGATGTAAAGAACCAAAATGGTTGCTTCATACCCTCTTTATTTAACTTTAATTTTTTGAGCTCTTGACGCACTGCTGCACTTACCGTCACTTTGTGTTTTCACGTGGGGAAGCCTTAAAGGCCACCTGCAGACTAAAAAGAACCGGAAGCTGGTATGATAACAGGTGGGGCGCGGCGAAAATTTGCTGGCGGCAGAGATTTAAACACTTGTGTCTTTTCAATGCTACAGGATAGTACGCCACCATTACCTTTGTTGAAGAGATTCTATAATGTTGAGTTCCCTGAGATTGAATGCTGGTTTGATTCCATAGCTGAGACCGGACTCAAATATTGTCGAATCTTCTTACTGATGGCTCCAAAACTGACTCTGGGCCATGATCTGGGGTCTTTTTCGTGGTTAATGGAGATAAGTTTCCCTTTTCTGTAGGGGAATATGCTTCGGTCTTCCAGACTGAGGTAATTGCAATACTCAAAGCCATGGACTACGTGGTGGAACATAGGTGGAGGGGAAAAAGTTTACATGACTGCAGCGACAACCAAGCTGCACTTAAGGCCCTCTGTTTAAGTACTTCCAAACTAGTTCCGCAATGCAAGTCTCGACTAAAATATGATGGTGAACATAACGAGGTTGTTTTACTCTGGGTACCAGGTCACTCTGGAGTACCTGGTTATGAGACATCTGATCATTTGGCCAGAGTTTGCTCATACCAGGCATTCCTCGGTCCACAAGTAGTTTTAGCACTCCCACCTTCGGCAATCGAAGCCACCATCAGAAACTGGGTGAATACTTCACTCCGAAATGACTGAGAGGCATAGTAGGGATGCAGGTGGGCAAAACTCATGTTGCCTTCAATCTCACAAGGTATATCTAATTTTTTGCTCTAACTGGGCAGACAACACTGCAGGCAACTTGCTGGACTGCTGACTGATCACTTCACGTGGCACAAACACCTGACTGTGATAGGCGTCAATGACATCCTGCCTTGAAGAGAATGAAACGGTGGAACACTTTTTGCGCTTGCTTGGTTGTTTGTCATCGATTTTTCTAGGCTCGTTCTTTTCTCTATTGTCAGTTTCTGAATTAAAAGTTTGGCGTTAAAAGCTTTGCCGTTGTGATGTTTTAAGTATTGTCTTTTAAAAACGTGATAAATATTTTTCGCCTCACTTTAAAACTCGGAGCGATAAAAATAAAAATGATTCCATTAACACAAATAAGTTATTTTACATATGCTCCACGCGCAAAGTCATGAGTGGGCCGAACATTTGATGAGTTTATGGTGAAGATAATGTAAATAACGCTAACGCTCGCAGTGCTCTTTATTTTTTATTTATTTTAATGTATTTACGGGCTCTATTTTTTAAAACCTACAAGTGTTTAATCACATTATTTTTATAAATAGAACACAAGAAAATATTTGAATATTATTTTGGCCACTCTGAGTTTAGTTTTTGAATTCACCCGCGATGCAAATTTCCATTGTTAGATCTAATTTTCACATTTAATTTTTTTATGAGCTTTGGGAATATTTAGAAATGTATCAGCAGGGGGTCCACCGATACCAGTAAATTTTTGAAAGGGGTCTACGAGAAAAAAAAGTTTGGGAACCTATAACTAGATCAAAGCATGCCAGTTTGCTTTGTTTGCTTCTCGAAGCATTAACCCATCCTTTGCAAGGCCCAGTAAGCAGAGATTGTGCTGCTGAGTGGGGCGAAAGTTCCAAAAGTTGCTATTCAATAGCTTGTTTTGTGTGGAAAAAGGTTTCACATGCAAATAACTTTTAACAATTTAGAATTTTTGTAAGAAGAAATTAAAAATTTTGACTTTTTCGAGACCAAATAATTTAAGAAAAATAAAACAATCAGCCGCTCTACTGATACTACCTGGCGCCTATTTCATAAAAGTGACAGGTGCGACAATTGTCGATTTTTCTGAAATATTTAACTGCCAGAATTGTCGGCGACATTTTTCCTGTTTCATATACGTTTGTAGGCAACTGTGAAAATTTTTGGAAACTACAGTGATAATATGGAAAATTGTAGACAATTGTGCTGACAATTGTCACTCTGACAAAATTGTCCCGACAATGGCGACAAAACCAAATTGCTCCGTCGTAAAGCTTTCACAGGAGAGTTTTGAGTAGTTCTTAAAACTAAAATAATGCAAATGCAATATTACATATCGTCGTTTAAAGTGCAAAACCGCGTATCAACAAAATGCAAAACCGCGTATGTGAAGTTATAACATTTTTTTTTCTAGAACGTAAAAACACTCATATTTCAAAATGGTTCTATTTTTTATAAAGCAATTGCATATCTGCCTAGTATATTTCAGGACGAATGGATAAGGATTGAGCCAAGAGCTCGTGTGAGCAAATCCAATTTTTGGGAGCCAATGTCAGTTACGCGGTTTTGCAGAATCACGATACGCGGTTTTGTACTTTAAACGACGATAATTTTTATATATAAATTTCATATGACTGGCGACAATTTTGTCAACGACAATTTTAAACTCCGACAATGCCAATATGTTACTTTTTCAATGGAATTTCTCATGGAATTTAATTGAATTGTTTTTATGAAACAAAACACCCAGCAAACTGTCGAATTGTCACTGACAACATGGAAATTGCCTGTCGTTACAAAATTATCACTGTCGCTTTATGAAATAGGCCCCTTTTCAATGTGCCTTCGGCCGTATGAATAAGAAATAAGCAATTGCTTTTTCTTAAATACCAGACATTTTACTTGATTTATTCAAACAAAATTGAAGAAAAAGGTATGACATTTTAAGAAAATGCAATTGCTTAGTTCATTATTTATACGGCCCAATATATCAAGTTGTGGATAATATATAATAAAAACACCGGTGCGCGAGTCGGAGACATTTTTTTTGAAGTGAATCTTCTTCTTCGACCTTTATTCGATTATCGCTTGTCCATGGTATTGTGAATGTCGATTTTTCGTTCAATAAGCGACTGTGGATAGCTTTTAGTCGCTCATCCTTCTTCAGCTGTTTGTTTGTAGAAGGATGATCGCCTATAAGTTATTCACACTAACTTATTGGACGAGACAATGACGTTCACAATACCATGGAAAAGCGATAATCGAATAAAAGTCCTTTATCTATTACCAGTCGACACTCGCAATAGGGGTGCAAATCGTGTGCTTATACATATGTACATATGTAAATTTGTGCAAATTAAAATGAAATAAAAAAGAAAGCGAGTTTATAAAAACGTGGTAAAAAAATTGTAATTAGTACAACGGAGTTCTGGTTGAACGATTCGTCGGAGGATTAGAGCTTAGAAAACTGGCCAGGGGCATAAAACGTTTAAAAGAGCAGTCTTTCGAATATATTTTAACATACAATATCTTTAAGAAATTTTGTGATCCAAATCTATTTAGGCCCCTATTATGAGTTACATTCGATCTTCGATTGTAGTCGAAAGTGCTGATCGAACGAATTTTCATTTGGTATTATGGCGCCCATTTGATGAAGAATAGCGCTATTGTGAACTTCGCTCGTTTATGTTGTTCAGAATAGTATATTTTTCACCGCTGAGAAGCTTTGTTTATGTAAATTTATGCAAATTAAAATGAAATAAAAAAGAAAGCAAGTTTATAAAAACATGGTAAAAATTAATACAACGAAGTTCTGGGGTTCAACGATTCGTCAGAGGATGAGAGTTTAGTGAACTGGCCAGGAGTAGTCAATGTTTAAGAGAGTTTAAGTTTAGTCTTTACAATATATTTTGACATAAAATATATTTAAGAAATTTGTCTACAGATTTACTAAAAACTTCCGACAGTCTAAAAAGGCGTTTGTGAGCCAAATCTATTTAAAATATTTTAAAACTATCCACAGCTCTATGATTTGTTCTCAGAGATCGTGCCAACTGAGTATTGGGATTTTACTTTCACAAGTAAAAGCAGCCTTTCGAGCTTGTGATTTGTAAAACTGCATGAAATTGATAAAAATTTTTTAAAATTAGTGTCTACCCGCAAAAAGGTAAGAAAACAAATGCAAAATAATACATTTTTCACAATTTTCTAACACTTCGCTACACCATCGAAAGCAAAATTCTGTTCGACAGAAAATTCGATACTCAACGAAAATTTCGACACGGTTGCATAGCTCATAATACGAATTTCACTTTCGATCTTCGATAATGCAACTCATAATAAGGGCCTTATTATATATTCGATAGCCAGCGAAGATCAAAAATCAAATGCAACTCATACTAAGGACCTTAAACTCTTAAACATTTTACTATTTACTACTAAGCTTACTTACTAAGCTCTCATCCTCTGACGAATCGTTCTCATTTTTACGACATTTTTATAAACTCGCTTTTTTATTTCGTTTTAATTTGCACAAATTTACATAAATATGTGTAAACACACTTTTTAGTTTGCTCGACTTCTAAACAAAGCTTCTGGGCGGTGAAAAATATACTATGTGAACAACCTAAACGAGCGAAATTCACAATAGCGCTATTCTTCATCGAATGAGCGTCATAATATCAAATGAAAATTCGTTCGATCAGCACTTTCGACCACACACGCAGATCGAAAGCAGCTCATAATAAGGGCCTTTATCTTTGTTAATTCGTTTCTTCGTCTATGTACGTACTAACGTTTACATTCATTCTAGTACTCGTATTTGTATTAATCTAAATCTTATTTCTAAACCGGTTATTAGCAGGCTTTTGTTAAATTACTACCGTGTGCATACATTTAAGAAGCACTTGTTTCTTTTGCAACCATTTGCCAATTTACTCCCAACCAAACAACAAAGAAGCTTCACTTCAATAATAATATTTTTGGGCTAATAAATTTGCTAAGGGTTTGGCCGAGCTTTTCGTCCAACTTGTTGTGTGCGTATTGCTGTTGTTACGCAAATGGAGAGACCTACAGTTTTATGCCACCTCCGAACGGCAAATGTATTTTTATTAGAAGCTTGTTCATGGCAGAAATACATCCGGAGTTTGCCATTGCCTGCCGACCGCTGTTATAAAAAACTTTCCTTAATTCAGATCAGGATCGAATCCACGACCTACAGAGTTGTTGAACGCACCTCTAACCATTCAGCCACAGAGGAAGTAAAAACCGTTAATAAAATTTAACCTACCTGAAAAATAACGATGAACGCTAGACGTCCAGTCAGTATTTTCCAGTAATACGATGGTCGCTTGTAAGGATGATCATCCCAGGGCGGATTACGGAATTCAGTATAGCGACAGGAGGTTACATTTTCATAGGTACTCCCCAGCAGGACGGGCTGTACCTAGAAGCGTAATATATACACGTAAATTTTTTTTTATATAATTCAAATCATAGCAGAGCCTAACCTGGAAGTCCGCTGTGTTAAAATAGGCAAGCGTAAAATTTAGATATCCCTCTAAGGATGCATCATTCGTGGCAGTTGTGTAGACAAGTTTCGGTATGAGATTTGTAGAAAATGCAATGATCATGGCCTGAAATATGAGGCGTAACAAATATTTACATTATCCTAATTTTAATTATTATCTCAAAAATCTTACACTCGATGCGACGGCGATTCGCGTAACAATTGCCATCATATTATACCAAACCCCAATATTACAAGCACGTTGTGCTACCGGACGACGAATAAGCCTTAACATTTTTATAGCATCCAAGCGTACTTCAATGACATTATTAATTAGCGCTAGTAGCGGCGCCAGTGGGAAAGCCAAGCCGAAAAGTGTTATGAAGCCAAATTGCAGAACTGATGGGAGAATTTAAAGTGTAAGTACGTATGTAAATATTTGCCGCACAAATTGTCGAAGAATTTACTAACCCATTTCCAAATACTCTGAGAATAGCGAATTTGTATTCGATGGTTCTAGATGATAATCCTCAGTCCACTGATTGCACGATATTAGCTTCTCTTCACTTTCCACTTTTCTCATGCCAATGCGCGCAGAAAGCTTACGTATGCAACGCATAATATATGGAAATAGCATTTCTACAATAGCATTTACCGCCTGCTTGCCCACCATAATGATGACAAGTTGCATGCAGAGTTCCATCAAACAACCACCTGGATTGCATTCTTCCTGCCGAAACCCCAATATTCGATTATATTTGGCTGGGTAGCCCACGAATTTCCCCTTTAGGAATGCAATATAAAATAACGAGGAATAGTAGTTGACAAATTGAAAAACATAGTTCTTAATTGTCAGGCTTTCATCGTACTGCGTTTGTGTACGACAATATTCCATATTCGTGAGATGAACGGCCAGTGAGGTGTAGACATAATCGAGCATAGAAATGACTATTAGATCGATGATACCAGCCGTCATGGGAAGCACCATTATTTTGAAGGTCATTGAATCTTCGTTACCTAAAATGCTATGTGATGCCTTTTGTGCCATACGATAGACAATCATAGAGAAAATCGCAATGAGCGAAACGCAGATCTGGAATGCGATAACAATAAATGAATGCAATGCCTAAGCCGCAGTGTATTTAAAAAAAAAATGGTATACTCACAAACAAAACCATAATGCTGTAACTTGTAAAACTTGGTAAAAATTTTATACGCCAAAATGGAACGTCCGGCTCTAATATATTATTGCTTTTCTTCCAACGCTCCGTAATATCCTTGTGCTTTTGTAGTTTCGATAAATACTGCGGTCGCGGATGTTCCACATGCTGTGAGAAGCTGGTCAATCCCCATCGATGCACCAAAGTTGCTGAGTAGCGCTTCCAGAGCTCCAGGTAGAGTACAGCTGTGAGAGAGAATTACATTTTTTATCAAACTAAGCGATACATATTTCAGAGAGCAAATATATACCCCAAATGGCCATTATCGATGCAAATACAACTGTCATATTATTATCTATTAGATAGTTCATTTTCGATGAATTACAAGTCTCTTCCAGCAGCCAATAGTTACAGTTTCGATCACATTGTGGGCACATAAGAGTTGTTTGGTTATCGTTGCAAATTTGGCGGCTGAAATAAAGGAAGAGGAGTTTTGTTATTATTTGGTGTTTTTAACTAAAATGTGAACCAATTTACTGTTCTGGAACATTGGCAAAGAACGGGTTTCAAAACAATAATATACTATTTATGTAGTACAAGCAAACCACAAAGATAGAACTTATAGATTTAGGACTCGTATTTATGCTTAAATATTAGCTTTGCTCCGCACGGGCCCGCGAGATCCCGCGGGTGCCCAAAAACAGGCCAGAAAGCGTTCCTCATGCTAGAAAAATGGGTATTAGAGAGCGAATACCTTTCACTTTTGGATCGTAAATGTCTTCTTCTTCGTGCCCGAAACAGTCCGGGCTTTTTTCTGGGCAGAAATGTGCAAGAAGTCAATTTGAAATAACAGCTGTAACTATAATTTTATTAGCCATATTAGATAAATACACATAAAATCATTGTTTAGAGCTGATTTGTTGATTCCGGGCACGAAATATGGTTTTTGCGTTCCGCACGCTCTGGGCACTTTTGTCACGTGTTGACGTGTGAGAGAGTAACTTATTTTTACACTCTAATTACTGACACAGCCCGGAAAGCGTGTGGAACAAACCTATTGTATTATTAATAGGAATAGATCACTGCCTATTAGCTCCAGAAAAAAATATAGTGCATTAAAAATATCAAGTAGATATTTTACAAATAGGTGTATTTTTTCTAGATTGATGAGAAGAGACTGGTATAAAATAACATGAATGTATGCGTCGTAGGGGTTACCCTTCCCCCGAAATTTTCACTAAAGAATATAATTTTTTACCTTATGGGATCTCTGCTCCACGTTACAAATCCATAGATGAAACATAAAATACCGAGTACGCTAACGGGTATTAGCATGTGAGTGTAGAAACCCAACCAAGCAAAATATAAGGCTACTTTTGCACCAAAATACTCTTTAATGCTATCCAGAGGTTGTAAGCTGAAAAAATATTTTTCAATTGTGAACTAATAATTACTTTTAGACTACATTCTAAACATACTGTATCCACTTCCGCAGCGTAGCCCATTCTTGCAGTAGAAAGTCTCGATCCGTATCCTGTAGGACATAAAGCAGATAATATGCAAGTTAATACAACGTAATTAGAAATGCTATAAGAGAGCCCTTATAAATTATTATTTTTTTGTTAGTTTTTTGAATCCGCGAAATTATATACATATGTATTGGCATATGGCCAATTGTAAATCTGCTAACATGATAAGGTCCACCAAAAACATCATGATATTGCTAAAATGAGAATCTTTTATTTAGAATCGGACTAGGTATACTTTAAATGCTACTTATTTCAACGAAAAATTGTCAAGGTACTATAACGGGACACCATCTGTTTAAAAATGTAAACAGAATTTTTTCGTTACTGCCTGGCTTTCGGCCTAAAATTGGCCATCGACAAAAAGCCTAAGGGTATTTCAATTTGCGAAAGGAGCAGTAATATGCCTTTTAAGATGCATCAGTAGAGTTTAGAAGGTTGTGTAGGTGTAGAATAAAGTGCTAGCGTTTTTAGGGAATATGATCCCATTTAAAAACAGGCACCATTATGTCGAATGGCAATGCTAAAATTTACGAAAATTATGGCATTTAAAAATGCAACGTAGTAACAGATTTAGCGGCTATTATTACCATGGCACTTGTATTATTTACTGCCCAGTTTTATCATTAAAATTCTTGTCAAGGATCGGTCATTATAACTGCCTCTGAAAAAAGGTTCTGATTTAATATCAAAACATAAATTGGTAGAGCAGATTTTGGGTTCTACACACAATTGGCTTATTTGTTAGTAAGTATTTCACATTGATAAATACCGGTTGTATTTTAGAAATTACTTGATTCCCTTATATTTACTTAGTTTGCTAAACGTTCCCTTTCCATCTAAATGACTCTTTTTATTCCTATTTTCTGCCTTTTTTCTATCATTATCGGTTGTTATTCTGAGCGTGGTCCTACCTCTTGTAACTCGGATGGTGGCAAAATAATTAAATTACAATTTAAAAATAATGAACTGAGGAAAAATATTGAATTTTCAACTTTATGTACATTTAAAAATATTTGGTGTACTGTGGGCAGAAATATACAGCTTTTATATTTTTGCACGACTTTTAACCCTGTTTAGGGCCAGTTTTTCAGTGTACAGCTGTTGTTTAAAGTTAGTTTAAAATCTCGAACTGACTGATTTAAATAAATATTAGCCAATCAAATATCAGTCAGCTGTTCAATGTAAAAGCAGTTTACGTGATCTAATTATAAACTGGCAATGAAAAACTCGATCTTGGTGTATAGAATGCCAGACTAGTTTTTAGTAAACAAAATTTTTACAATCTAAAAACTTACGTCATGTAGCGGATATGCGCTGTGGTAAACACGATCGCCCAACAATTTTTCAATACCCAAATTGTCAGCGGTTTCCTCGCCCTCAACAAAATGCTGCCGCTCCAATATAAAATTAATGATTGAGTTCCGAACACCGGCATCAAAGAAATTCGGCTGATCCCATTCGAACCTAATATTAGATATTATAATATTTTTACTAAATATACTTAAACCACCACTGTGAATCTACACTTACAAGTGCTGATAATTGCGGGAGAATTCAAAGTGTATGCGATACGGCCGTTCCGGGCTGACGCGCAACCAACTGAAAATTCGACTACAGGATGAAGTTAGACAATCTTTTATGCGAAAATCATCGTCCTTTATAAGCTCCTGGCCGGGGATCTGGAAAAAAATATGAATGCAAAACAATAAGATCGGAAATGTTGGCAACCATAGGAATCACATTTGTACTGTTTACCTTTTTCATTGGCAACTTAATCTTTAATATCTCCGCGTAGCGGCAAAGCACTTCCAGTGGCGCATGAATTTTTATGAAATGTATGCGCTGTGTATTATCAGGCTCCAAATGTAGGCCTTCCTTAATTAAATTCGTTTCAAAGATTTCACGTTTTCGTCGATTCTCGGGTATATAATCATCATCGCCAATATAGGCCAAGACGAAATCAACGCTGCGTTTGCCATCTTGGAAGCGCCGACGTGTCTTTGGAGTGGAAAGTTAGCTTTAATTAATATTAAGTTAAAATGCGAGGCAAATGTTGAAGCAAGAACTTAAGCTACTACATTGTATGTCTGTGCTAAGTATATACGCACAGTTATCCATAAAGCAAACAAGCCTACACACATATAATGTGTGTATGTATGTATTTACAAATTTGTTTTCATAAATTCTTTAGCAATTAATAACGATAGTGTGACTATTCTAGTAAAATAAACTAATTAACTGTGTTGAAACTTTATGTGTAAGTAATTTAAGAAGCCGCTATTTTTTATACTTTTTTAAAGTGATAGAATTTCTGAAATTTTTTTATCTTTAATAGGCCTAGCCTTGACTTTTGTGTACAATTGGGTCTGCGTTACTAGTGAGTAGTGTGTTTTTAATTCGGCAAATAGCATAACGTCGGTGATACTGCAAAACGTTCTATGTAACTTATTACCTCTGGTGCTTATATGATCTGTTATCTGTATCTGATCGCTTCTGGCAATCGTTCATCTTCATCAGCCAAAGGTATACAGTTTTGTCATTCGTTTATTGGGGTGTAACGATTTGCAGACGCATTCCGGTGCAAGTAAGAGACCATCTAAGTGTCAAGGTGCGTAGACCGTCTTGCATTATCACCGACGATAAGTAGACAAGTTTAATTGAATTTCATCAAAAGGCCATTAACAACTTTGATAAATATGAATATACATATGTATGTATATGAGACATTGAGAGCCGGAGTAGCTTAACTGATATAAACAAAAACTTTAAGTACAGCTTAAAATGCATTACTAGAATCGAAACGGTAACAGCCCGAGACACGCACTTTCAGTTTTCTTTTACTACACTCTAAAAAGTGCATGTAAAACTACTATTGACAAGTGTTTATTTTTCAACCAGAATCTGTGTAAATATACGCACAAGATGTTCAAGATTTGATTTGGAACATAAGATCTTTAAAAAATACACTCAAATATGCATATGAAATGTATGAATTGTAAAAAAATTTTAAGTAAAAATATATTGTTTACTAATAATAAACATTAAGTGCTCATATTTTCTAAATTTTTAACACTTTGTGACAAATTTGGTATGTAAAAGTAAACAGACAGTACTTAATTTTGCACAAATTAGGAGAGGAAACCGGTTACCTCTCTTTATATGCGTAAATTTAAACAAATATTTTTTAGATCAGATTTTAAATATTTTATGTGTAAACTGTGAAATTGTGAACAGTAAATGTTTAGAATTTAACAAACAAATTTGAAATTTGTTCTACGCCACACATATGATAAGTAAAAGTAAACAAGCAGTTTTTAATTTAATTATCACGTTGTGTAAATTTGCATTAATGAAGAGAGGAAACTGGTTACCTATCTTAATACGCGCAAATTTAAACACAATTTTTTTAGAGTGTATAATAGGTAGCAACGAAATCTTCAGGAAAATACTGTATTTTTTTAGACGCTTCTTTCTCATATTACTGGAGAAAAAGGTTTTGTAGATAGGCTCTTCTGGCTGTTATGACCTCATATGAAAATTGGTCTCTATGCCATGAATGCAAAATCTACAATTAATTTAAAATACTTTAGAACTTGTTGGATCCCAAATAAACGAAATTCTCTACTTATTCGAAATTATAACCGTCAAACTGATACAAATTCATAATGCCGCGGTCGCGTTCAAAAAATGCGTATTGCCATCGACGAAGCGGCAAAAGTTTTTGCTTACCAACTGGAATTTTTTGCCTGATATACATTTTATTAGAGGCAATATTTGTGCATGTGCACTTTTTATCTTGATCATTTAAAGCATTTGTAGGATGGCTTCTATCAAGTAGTTTTGCAGGATTATTGCTTGCCAAGAGCAATATGCGGTCTCCATTAGCAAAATATTGCATATCGTTATCAAGATAAAAAGTTGTGCCCGTGGAAACAGCAGGTTAGATAATGAAGATAAAAAATTGGCAGCTATAGCCCGTAGCCTATTGTTTTCAGTGAGTTTCAAGCGTTAACATGTACTATATGTATACATTTTTTATGCATGCACTGTAACAGTGTTTCATCGAAATAAACCTACTCTTAATTTACATATAACGTGCAAAGGTTTTAAGCACATTGATTATGAATATTGAACTCAATACTAAAATTAACTAAATTTTTAATTTTTTTTTACATATGTTTTAAAGTATGTATGTATGTAGCATGTGTTAGGAAGAAACTTAGATTTAATATAAAAGAAAAGGAAAAAATTGCCATTACCCGTTCCCGCAAGCGTTCAAGCATTTCGTAACAAAATTCAAAACACGAGTGAGGGAAAAAAAATTATTTAATAAAATATTTAAGTATTTATGTATAGTTTTTTTTTTTATCAATATGAATATACAAATGTAATTATGTATGTACATGTGTCTGTGTGTGTGCAATTTGATTGATTAATGGCAAAATAGAGAGATAAACTTAATGTACAGCAAAAAAAATGAATTTCTGTCAAAGTTGGGGTATATCGAACGTTTAATAACAAAGGGAGATCAATTAAAGTTCTCAATCTGCGAAAAACGCAATAACAGTTCTTTGTACTACATACTTGTATGAACCCAGTACGGCGTAGCTCAACCAATTACCTCAGAAAAATTAGTTTATTTCCACTTATGCAGCAACTAACTTCAAATTTATGTATAAATCACATAGCATCCCCATTGATATAAACCAAATGCTTACACTTTTGATACATATCTTTGCGAATAGTTCAATATTAGTTAAAAATCATCTGACTGTGGGCAATTAACTACTTCAGCATGAAAATTCATCTGAAAAAGAAACATACTGACTTTGCATTGCTTTAAGCCAAATGCATTTTAAAGTAGTTGAAATCAAATGCAGTCGGACAAGCGACTTGCTGCTTGCACACAATTCAAACTGAACATTTGAGAGCACATTTACATGTCTGGCTGTAGATGAGCGTGCAAAGATGTTTGCTACTATTGGTCGCGGCCAAGAAAGCCCATGTTCAAATCTTATTAGGCGAAACATTTAATTTAAAATTTTTAATCTCGGCTTTTCTTAATTATGAAAAAGCATCTGTGAAGTGCAGAACGAAAGCGTAATCAAACGATTGACTTTAGAGTGCTTTAAGCCAAATGCCTTTTAAAGTAGTTGAAATCAAATGTACAGTCGGAGAATTGACTGATGCCTAGGACATCGCCATGTTAAAGTCAACAGTTAGTCCCAAAGAAGAAAAATCTTCAACTAGTTGTGGTAGGTAAAAAACTATTTGAACATCGATATTTAAACTAGTTTCTTTCCGTACTGGGAATGTACATTATACTTTGCAACTTTGTCCTACAAAACAGGACTATGCCTAGCAAGGCTGTATTTAGGGGGGTTGTAGGTGTTCTAGGTGCCTAGTCAGTACTACTTGCTCCAGGTTGTCGTTTTTTAAATTTCCCTTATATTCATTTATATATGTATACCTATTAAATATCGCAATTATTTACTCATTTTTTAATGTATGCAATTATATTTTCATTAGCTAACATTAAATAATAATAATATATACAAACATACGTTTGTCTAATCTCTAGTCTGTATTTAATCAAATGAGCCGAGTGGAAGAAAGTGCGAAAGGCTCCAGCAAAAAAAATATCAAAAATCAACGGTAATTTTTAGCCTTTCAAACGTGCACATTATTATACTAAAATTAAATTGGCTTCCAAAAATTACGAGTAAAAGGTTGAAAATTTTGATGATTTTTTTTCTAATTGGTTGAATTTTTGTAAGTTTTGCCCACAGTTTTAAACTTTTACTTATATGGCGTATGTTATATTATAAGATATATTTTTATAAAAAATTTGTGAAAATATTTACCATTTAAATATTGTACGTACATATGTTAATAAATTCAAGCAATTGAATTAAAAAATTTTAATTTTTTTATGGAATCATTCCAGTGCGGGGAATTTCACCGAAAATCGGGGAATTTCGCGGTGGCCAACGGGGAGGAAATGAGTTGGCATTCCTGTTGTGTACTTCCTCTATGTACAATGCGCATGTCCAATTAAAGATATTAAAAAATACATAGAGCGGTCAAAAAATTATATCCGAACCACTTTTTGCCAAGTTTTAACGTATCATTTTCGTTTTTATTTAATTTTCGTTATTTTTTTATAAACAAGTAAGAAGGTCTAAGGTCGGGCAAAGCCGAACATTAAATACCCGGCGCAAATATTAAATATATGTTTTTCACCGCTACCGAACATGGTAAGCCGGGCTGTATCAATTTTGAGTGCCACGCCCATTTCCCAAAATTTTAACGTAAACGTATTTCTTGGTAAAGAATTGTTGCAAGCGTCAATTTAAATAAATTAGCTTTAATATTTACTGATTTATCGAAGATTTCGTTTTTCTCTAAATTACCCTTATTTGGATTGTGGGCGTGGTTATTGTCCGATTTTAAAAATTTTCGGTCATTTGGTATGATGTACCAAGGCCAACAACTGTGCCAAGTTTGGAAGAAATCGATGCAGCGGTTGCCAAGATATACACATGTAACCATAAGTGGGCGTGGCTACGCCCATTTTTCAAAAATTTATAATATTCTTATTTTTCGTCTAAAAATCATTGTAAATGTCCATTTTGAGTGAATAATCTTCAGTAGTTACTAAAATATCGCAGTTTTCGTGTTTCTGAAAATTACCGTTATATGGGAGGTACGCGTGGTTATTGTCCGATTTTGCCCATTTTCAATACAATTCAAAGTACACGTACCAAGTTCCGTTAAGATATCTTAATTTTTACTCGAGTTATCGGACGGACGGATCAACAAACTTTCGTACAAATTTCGAGATTTTTTAAAAATTCTAAAAAATCAATTGTTGTTTTTAGCCATTTGAAACTTGTACCTTACTCTACTAGAATTCAATGGGCTACAAACTGCATACTCAGAATCTAATTAAAAAACTCGAAAAACGAAAATTTGTTGAAATTGTTTAAAATTGCAAATATTTTTAAGGCAATGCCACGCGATTGGTACATTTGCACATATTGGTACATGTTTATTTATATTGGGCTATTGGTACAAAAAAATTGGAACATTTTATTTTGTAGTCAAAAGATTGGTACAATACAGCGATGTTCTACTGACAAATTTCAACAAATTAATTTTCGTGATTGGGATAACGAAAAATATTTGGGATACGATTTGCACTAAATTTTGGCAAATACCCAACCGTGTGATACTGCCTTTGAACTTGTATTTATACGGATGTTGTTAAAGATTGAACTATACAAAACTAACCAAAATTAAATAACAACAAAAATAATATTTTAAAACTTGTGAAAATTTGGTGCGGCTATAATTTTTTCGACTACTGTACATTAAACTGCATCACCAAAAAAGTTGAGGGTTTTCCGGCCTAGTATATTTTAAGACTTCTACCAAATTATTTCGGTAAAATATTAAGATTTACGTGAGCTGGACCGGTTTGAAAATACCTCCAAAAATGGATCTTTTTATTAATAAAAATAGTTTCTTAAAGGATTATTTGGAAAAACAGTTTAAGCTTAAAAAATCTACATAAAAATAAAAAAAAATTTATCAACAGAATCATAATAATGAGATTTTTGATGCTGTTTTTTAACTTTTTGCAAAGATTTGTGTAAGAAGAACTTGAATAACTGCTCCAAAACTTTACCGATATAGACTCATGAGGTATGAGTGGAAAGGTATTTTCTCACCCTTTTTATTTCTTGGCAAAAAAACTGATTCACGTCCCAATTTTTTCTTTATTCAATACCAACACATCTTAATTCAACATGGGATCACACTCGTTTATCTTATCTTCCTCTTTCATACTTTGAATGAGCTTATTCGCGAAGAAATTAAAAGGGTGAGAAAATACCTCACCAATGATACCTGGGTAAGAATTTACCAAGATTAATATTTTTCAATGATATTCAGGCAGCACCGAGTTTTGTAGTCGAAAAGTACACTTTGTAAATTTTGTTGCAAAATTCCTTATAGTTTTTTTTAATCAACAACTGAAAATTTTTGCAGTGTTTTGGAAGTTTTTATTTTCCTTTGAAAGTAAGAGTCCTAATGAAAAAATTTTTTTGGGGGCAGATTTAAGAAACATTAAACTAACCAATGAAATTATTTGCGTTACAAAAATATTTTTTTTGCTTTCAATATTTTTTTTTATAAACAATTGAACATTTAAACAATTTCTGCGCCTAGTGGACGAAAATTTTTAACAACTTATGTAATAAACATTTCTGCATTTATCTATGAAAAAATTCGCGCATTTCGATATAGTCTGGTCGGAATGAATTTTCATTTGGCAGGGTGCGCGCCCGAAATCATATTTTGAGAGAAACATATTTAGTTGACGTAACTAAACTGTTTTCTCAGTTTAGACGGCACTACATATGTCATTTCCTTCAATTTTAGCTTAGAAGGTTGTAGGTATAATCTTTGGAGGTACAACTCCACACCAAAACTTTCTTTTTGGTGTTGCGGCTTCGGCTATTACGCCTGACAAACTAGTGCAGTTATGTAAATACAGCTATTTCGAACGTTTTGAAGTAATTATTAATAAATATAATATTTACAGTAGCGATATAAAAATGTTTCGCAACAAAAACCATGGTTTGTTGCAGAAAAAAGTTTAAATTATAACTGGACCGATAATTTTCATATAACATTTACTTAAAGAAGGCCACCAAGGCATTGAACTAATTAAAATTATAATAAATAGACCTTAGAACGAAAATTTGAGGATGTGAGTATCAAAGAGAAAAAAAAAATATATATATATGTATATCGATGGTTCTGTGCAATAGCGCCACAATTCAAAATTCAAAAAGCAAAAACTGTTACCACTGTTAAGTGGCTCTTGTCTCTAATCCTTGTCTAATCCATTTCCATACCTTGCTAAAGTAAGCAGTAAGGATTGCTAAAGTACAAAAGATTAGACATGGATTCGACAAGGATTAGAAGCATGAGCCACTTAACAGTAGTAACAGTTTCTTTTTTTTTTTGAATTTTGAATTGTGTCGTTATTGTATCAATTTCTTCAATGGAGGGCTAAAATTTTGAATTATTTATATTAAGGTAATTATTTTTGGTACGTAGATGCTTTGCGATAGAAAAAATAGAAAATGCCGATTGATTGAAAGACCTGAGTTGAATTCATATAAAAAAATATTTAAAACATATACCTGCTCATTGAAAATAATGAATTATGATGATTAATAAAAATATAAGTAGAAAGGCGTACTTCTTCATATAAAACAACTCTTTTAAAAATCACTTGCATGTAAGATCAAAACCAGTTTTGCCATCATATTTGCAGTTAAATTATATAAATAAATTTAAGTGTTACTATTTTTCATATTCCAATGTGTGTATGTCTGAATATGCTCAGTGTTGGTGTGCATAGTATGCATAATTGGTGAAAATAATAATAAATTAAAATGCAAATAATTTGTGAAAAAATCAGAGATTTTAAAACACGTTAAAAATACATGTATGTATGTATGTACAATTGTATGTACATTTTCAGCATAGAAAATTCGAAGCTTTTGTAACAAACAAAAATCAACTAAGATGTTTACCCTAAATTTCCATTGGGAGTACGTAATTGGCAATTTCTTATCTTTACTAGTATTTGTGCTACTTTGTAAGAGACGTTTAGAGACCTCATCAGCATTCAGATGCGATGTACTATTGCTCTTGTAAGTGCTGGTAGTGTTGTTGGGGTATGCGTGCGAGCGTCCATTGTGCATGGCCAGCACTTGTGCCGCAATAGCAGCATCCGTTTGATCGGCAACGCCTGGCCCGCTGTTGTTATTGGCACTGCTATATTGTTCCAACGCTGATGAGTGGCGATAATTTGGATTGTATGGCAAACGATTGTTCGGATTATTTAGTGCCGGTGCCGCATTATTTTTGTTGCCATTTTCCAGACGTAAACTTCGACGCTTCGACGGTGTATCTTCGCCCGCCAAATCAACTGCCGAGTGATAGATTGTGTTGCGGGATTGCGAAAGTGATTTGCGATGTGCGGCAGCGATGGCAGCAGCAGCCTCAGAGTCGGCCAATGAGATTGTGTCAAAGTACAAACTTTCCAGATCGTCCATCTCCGACTCGGGATACTCGAAATCGTTTGTGCGGACTGTGGAAGGGGAAAAATGCATACAAAGTTAGTTGGTACTGTATACATGGGTATGAAGGTATGAGCAGAAATTAGTATTGTTAATTGGTTCACGAACAAGATGCCATCTATATATATGTAGGTATGTAAGTATGTAGATTTCTACTTGCCCAATAAAATGTTAGAAAATTGAAATATTAAATACCTACGGGTACCATTAAAAATGTCACGCTTCGATAGCCTGATGCGCTTCAATGAAAATACTGTTGAATCTCTATTAAAATGCTTCAAAATATATGGTACATAGTATGTTTGTATGTATGTATATGTATCTAGTTTAATAGTTACATAATAATATTTTTTTAGTTAACTTATTTTCCAGATTTATATGTAGCCTTGGTAAATCAGCAAATATAAAATATGTATAATTCCAGGGGGCCTACTCTGTATTGTGATTTGAAACTCAATACGATTCGAAAGACCACATGGACCTATACAAATTCATAGTGCCAAGTATTCGAAATCAAATGATTTGCTTTTCGATTCGCAATACTCAAAGACCCATCCTTGTGCTTAAATCTCTTTTTTCTAACCAAATATGTACAAACAAATGTTGATATTTTGTAAATATTCACAATGTTCATTGGACTAAAAATGTATGGGCTATAAAAATGCGAACCCAAAAATGTTCTAAAAAAATTCAGAATATAAAGTTTATAATTTTGATGAAAGTTTGCTGGATTTTTCCGAAATTTGTATAAAGTTTGAAACATTTATTTATATGGTTTTTGGTCACAGCTTTTGCAGTATTTTTATGGAAAAATTATTTAAAAAAATAACTTTAAAAACATTGCGAATATTAAAAAAATCCACTCAAAAAACTTCATTCTAAAAAAATTCTGAAAATTTAATAATATTCCGTTAAGGTTAATCAAAACCAATAACAAACTAAAAAGGAGATTCAAATAAATATTTTGTTTACATTCTCAATTCTACGTTTATAACTGCTGCTAAAGGAGGAGCCACCTCCACCTTCCTCTTACACTTTTCTTCATTAATACTAGTCAACCCGTATAGCGTCAAAACGCCACAATTTAATCTATCTTTTTTTAGCAGGTAACCACCCTATTCAAAAACTTTAATAATTATTTCAAATAATTCATCTTAATCCGCTCAGCCGCTTCTGAATGTAGAGGGTTAACGCATGGTGCCGGTTTTTCACATCATCAAATTTCAAATCACCTTATTGCACATCTACAGGCCTAGTTCTTCAATTTGACATCTCCTTTTTGAAATTCAAAAAAACCGTGCTGATCTTATGACATAAATAAAATAATAATAATACAACCAAAAGATAGAGTGATTCATGTTTTTTTAGTTTTCCAATAATAAAATTTCGTTCAATTCAAATTGGGACGTTTACGGCAGAAAACCGCAAGGAAAATGTAAAAAAAAAAACCAAGGAAGAGTGGTCTAGGCTCCAGATTGGGACTGGGAATTTGCAAGCATTTGGTTTAACAAAGCCAAGGGTGGATCAAGGAGGAGCTTCGGTGAAAGCGTGGGGCAGCCACGAATCCTCTATACTTAGACGCATTGTAGCGTGTTACTTTGGGATACCGTAGAGACTAGTAATGAGTGGCGATAAGCGGACATGTGGCAATAGAACTGCACTGTTTTCCGTCAAAGCAGATATATGAATCTGTCTTGCATACAGTTGTTTCAAAGCATAATAGACAGACCGCAACGTTGATCCGGATTAACGACGCAGTTGATCTGATTAAAATTGTGCCTTGACAAACGGCAGTAATGCGGATTAACGAGTCGCAAGGTCGTCGGTTCAAGTCCCACGGCCAGTAGAATTTTCATCTATTTATTTTTTATTAATTAATTTATTAATTCTATATTTTTTAACGTTGATTTCAATTAAATAGTTCTTGTTGCCTTTTTTTTATAAAATTAAAGCTCTAAAAAGTTAAATTAACTAATAGTAAAATAAAAAATGTGATATAAAATAAAACAAATGAAAATAAAATAAAGTAAAATTAAACATATGTATAAACTCGCTAGCTTTGTTTGCTTACTTGTACAAAAGACAACAGCAGGCCGTTTTTACCAGTGTTGTCTTCGAAAATTCCCCTGATCCGAGTTAATTCCCAAAAATTTCGTGTTGCTTATGCGCGTTTGAAAGAGGAAAATGCATGATATAAGTACCAGAAATGTTATTTCGCCTAAATACAACGTGGTGGGCCTCTCCAGATATAAAGGATTTTTAACAAGATCTTGCTTAAAGCGATGGCAGTATTTCTGGATAAGCTTTGTGTTGAAATTGCCTTATTCGGCATAGGGTAAACAGCGGCTCCCCAAGGGTTATTTCAGATTTTGAAGTCAACAAATTTTATTTAAAATATTTTTCGTTTTTCCGAAGAAGCAATTATAATCCTCTTCTATGTTACTGACATGATTTATTCATAGGGTTGCCAGACGTACCCCATAGAGGGGAATACCCCGTGTTGACTTTTTGTCCCTCCTAACTACGGAAGGTTGCGTAGGTCGCCCATTTTTGCAAGAAATCATTCACTTTTCGCTTAAAACGTGTTTGTCTTGTTCAACTTTCACAGGCAATTAGTTGAACCAAAGTTGAACGAAAAGTATAATTTTTATTTGAAAATATTCTTATGTGATACACATAAGCAGCAATATATAATTATTACGTAACCGCATTATATACATGCAATGAATTCAACAAAATCCAAATAAAAAAATATGTGTACATGTGTAGCAGAGCTGTGTAAGTGTGAAATCATTTTCAATTTTAAATCAACAATTTTTTTCTATCCAGTTTTTATTACCTATTCTTCGCTTAGGATTGAGGTTTAAAATTTTTGAATTTTCCATTCTCTCAAAGCAGTTATGAATTCACACATCAACATATTCATAGCAAGATTGAAAAAACCAATGCCCAATCAAATAAAGGTTTAACACTGAATGAGTATTGAAAAGGCTGCAATCTTTTATGTGTTTGCATTCTTTAACTCAGTACCAATCATTAGTTCAAAGACACCCTGGTGATAAAAAGGAAGATTTTTGACAATTGCTCAATTGTAAAAATTCAAACCGAAGTTACCCAATTTAAGTTTTTTGGTAGAGGGGATTTTATATCATATGTTTGGGATTATATATAAAACAGTTGTATTAACATTTACGTTTTAAATATAATTTATGTTTTATCTTGAAAATGTTTAAAATTTACATTAATTTAGATAACTACTTCGCATAAGCTTTACATTTAGGTTGATAAAATTTTAGTGAAAATATTTTAAAAATCTTAGTGTCTTTAATAAAAAAATAGCTCATCATAAAAATTGTATCGCCGTTCGGCGTCGGCATAAGTTTGTAGGTCCCTCCCATTTGTGTGACAGCAAAAGCGCACGCTACAAATCGGAGGAAAAGCTCGGCCAAAACTTAGCAAAAGTGTCAAAGCCAAAATATGATTATTATAAATAAATTTAGTTTCAAACAGGTCGCAACCCTCTTCAAACATCTCAAAAGTATTCCCAATATTATTTAGTTGTGAACCCGCATGAGTCCGAAATTACCATTTTTTACCAGAATTTCCAGATTTTACCGGAAATCGTACTTGGTTTTCTGGCAACTGAGAGGACAAATAAGAGAGTAAGTAAGGTCATCTCTTTGTCAGAAGCTACCTGGTGGTAAATTTTGGTAAATGTGTCAAAAGATCCGATGTAGTGTGTTTGACAACCAAATTGTAAACAAAAGAGAAGTGCACTCTGCTAATGCATGTTGAAAAGTAAATAATTCCTTGCTTGAGTGGATGCTAATGAGTTTTGGTTAAATTACAAAACGCTTAAAAAGGTATTAGCCGTCATTTTACGTTTAAAAACTTTAAAACTTTAACAGATTACCACCCTGTACTCTATATGTGATTGACCATTGAACTAAATCGTTGTTTATTTGGGTAAGATTAAAATATATTTTACTATTCAATATTGGAGTTGGTGCGAAACAAAAATTAATAATTTATTGTTATGTATGCAAATGAGAACTGCAATTATGAGCTTATTGAGCATCTCTTAGTCAAAAACAAAGGCAATTTTGCTTGATCAAGTTTCGAATCTAAGAAAAAAATGTTTTTAACAAACAAAAGGTTAATAATAAAATTTGAAGGATTTAAGATATTGCGTGTGGTAGCATGAAACGTCACAATCTTCTTAACTGTCAGGCTGTGGAAACACATAGCTGAAGATTTCATACTACAGTGGGATAAACTTCAAACCTCTAATATAAATTAGTTAAATTTAGTTATTATTTTTTTTTATCAATTTTAAGTTTTCGTTTGGAACAATTTTCATGAACTTATCTATTAGGAGATCTCTTTGGAAAATTACCGTACATCCGATATCTATTGAAATTTTGACATCCTCACTTTTTGGAAAAAGAAGTTCAAGATAGAAGTTTATGTGCAGAAAATAAATTAAACAATAAATTTCTCCTTATATTTATGGAACTTATAATAGAAAAATGTTTATTTCATTACCCAGACTTTACGAATAGCCTACTCTACAAGTAATAGTAGAAATTCCGAATTAGTAAGTTCTCTTTTGTGAAAATTTGGGACTATCTTATGCGAGTATTGTCGACAAAATGTTAGTCTATGAATGACTTAAAATTAACGAATAAATGGTTAATAGCGATTAATGATTAAAATTAATTAAGCGATCGCTGTGGTGTAGTGGTTAGAAGTGCGCACTACCATTCCGCAGGGTGAGCGTCCGAGCCCAGTTCCGGCCAACAAAAAAAAGAAAATGTTTTTTGTAATAGTGGTCGGCCCCCGGCAGGAGTCGGCGGTACACTGTAGGTCCCTCCCCTTTGTGCGACAACATCAAGGCGCATGCCACAATCGGAGGAGTAGCTCGGCCAAACACTAACATATGTCGATGGTCCTCTGCAATAACGGCACAATTCAAAATTTCGGGTTTAGAAAAATACATAATTTGAAAGCT